TTTTGCAAATATTGAAACGATTTTTGCTCCGTTTTTTTTTTACCTCCCAAGAGATAAAAGTAACATGAGTATTTGCGAGTCCATTAGTTGACTAAAAAAATAGCTGTCCATTTTTAGTCTAGACCCACGTTTCTCTTTCCTTCTGATGCAGTGACTAATGTGCATTTAATTAAAATTGATAATTTCTTTTAAATTTAGAGATGTGTGGTTTGGAAATAGCTACCTGAAATTATCTGAGCATCTAAAATATTGCCGTATATTTAAAACTAAAGCTCATACGATCAAATCGAGGAGTTGATAATTTGATCATCATAGTTTCGTCATAGTTTGAGAACATCCAAAATATAGCAATGCAAATTTTAGTTTCTGAAGTATTGTATATTTTTAAATAAACCAGTGATAAATGGTGCATTGGTTTTCTTCTTGTATAACGTAAACGAGTTTAATTTCCTCTGCAGCGTCATCAAGATTTACATTAGACTTTTTACCGATCAATACAAACTCTGCGACCCCGAAATTCTGCCGCCTGGATCCTTCCTAAATTGTAAAAATTTTGGCTTACCTAAATTATGGCGTCTGGCGCATTCGCACGGCGGCTCTCGCGCCGCCCATTAATGTCATCCGCTTCTTTATCAAATAGCCTCGAATGTTTTTCGGTAATCAACGTGACCATGCCGGTTGCCTATAAATCTTATTTTATTTTTATGATAATCTTGTAGACATCACGCACAAAATTGAATTTTTGTTAAGTAAATTTCTAAAATCAAATGGAAACAAATGAAATCGCGTTATTTCGTTATTATATTTCAGAATTTGATTCTCTCTCTCAAACTCATTTTCCAGTACTTGTTTAGGATCCAACGTTTCGGTAGTTTTTGAAATTGTTATTTTGTGTAATTAGAAGAACTTTCTGTTCGTTACAGCCGTTTTCGCTGTTCAGTTCCAGTCACCTTCGAAATGTAGATGCTCTGAAAACCTTGCAATCATTAAACCTAACAGCTGTTTTCCTTAATTCAACACATGTGTTTCCTCGGAAATCATGAAAAAATGTCCCACATTTTGACAACAGTTGTTGTTTCTGGAGCTTCGGCTTATCAACCAGGAAATAGGTTACTTACAGGGCGTCAAATGTCCCAATCCTTAATAAGCGTGCTTTTATATAACATGTAAACTGCATATGTTTTAATCGAACGCTTCGTACTCAATTACTAACCTATTTAGTGCAAAAAAATTGCATTATTTTGTGTAGCAAATTGATTTTATGTTTAAAATCTAAACTTCAGTTATGCACTGTCTTGAAACAGAATAAAGAATTGCTGAGGCATTAGTATGAAAACATTTTGCCAGAGTATTCTCATAATTTCACTTTTAAATTCTGTCTCTTTCCTTTGCATTAATGTTTAGTTATCATTTAGTTATTTAATTGCATGTTGATAGGATTTAAACAATTAAGCATATATGAAATTTATATCCAGTTATTTAATCTCTTCATTTTATAGCATTTGCAATAATTTGCAAAAAATAATTGCTGTTAAGTTTTCTAATTGTGGCAAGGTTATCTTAATTTGATGCAGTATATAAAATTCTTTCGTCTTTCAATTAATTTTCTGCTGTACCCTGGTCTTATTCGCTAACAATGTTTTACGAGAAAGAAGGGGGGGTCAGGGTTCGTAGCGGTCCTTATAAGTCCTTATATTTGAAATTAAAATATAAAGACCCTTATAGGTGCTTACTTTTTCTTTAAAGCCCTTATTTTTTTTGTTTTTAGTGCTTTTTTTTTTTTTTTTTTTTTTTTTTTTTTTTTTTTTTTTTTTATGAGCGCGCTTTTTTTTCCCGTACCAAAGCCGAAACTAAATAAAAAAATTTTCTTCCTAATATGGAATGTCAGATGGTGAGTCATACTCCTGGAAATAGCTTTCCCCCCTTTCTCTGTATTAATATCCTTTGGTGTGCCCGTCGTTCTATTGGTCAAAGAATTGCGAAAGCAGTAGAAAATTCCGCTACATTCGGCATTCTTTTCCTCCCACCCAAATACTACACACGTTTGAATTTCTTTAATAATTTGCACTCTCGTTCCGCTTGGTCAGTTTATATTCGTTTATATGATCCCTTTATTTCTTAAAATTTGCATTCGTTCGCTTGGTCAGTTTATATTCGTGTTTATTATGATCGTTATGCTTATATTATGAGCATATGTATGAATGTTTATAATAACATAGTTGCAGTAACTGCTGAAGTATAGTAAACTTCCAAAAATGGTTGTGTTTTAACACAGATTAGCTTCCTAATTAATAATATTCGGAATGGCTTAAATAAAGGGAAAGTAATCGAATAGTCAAAATAATTTCATTTTTTTGGCCAATACATTATACAGTACGAAGGTTGGGAGGTCTCCCCTTTCTCCGCAAAATCTTTCCAATCTTCCAATCTGGACTGAATAGGACTAAAAGTTCTGCGGTCTACCAACCCAAGCGAAGAATGATACTATTCCGGAAACTTAACGGCGCCTGTTGAAAATTAGAATGAAAAACACCAGTTATTTAGTTCTTTATTCTCCCAATACCGGCAGTTGTTGATTCCGATTGCGTAATATCACGTAGGGAAGAATTACGGTGCGCACGTATTGCGCAATAACGTTTGCGATATTTTGCAGAGATAATTAATTTTGATGTTCAGTTCGAGATTTGTTTATGAACACTTAAAAGAGTTTTACTGTGCTTGCTAAGCAGAATATTTTTTAGTTCCGTTGGTTTATTTTTATATGATGCACATATTGAAATGTCAAAAGCATTTATTTAGCGGAAAAATCTAAAGAGCGGCTACAGTCTACCCCCCCCTCTCGCTCCTTCAAGTTACGCTCGACTGTCCGAATATTCGCCAATTTCCAAGTATGCGGGTTAGTTAAGCTTTTACTGTTAAAGATCAGTGCATGAAGCAAATTTCTTTCTTCTGATTTCAGAAATGTTCCTCTTTTTCACTTAAATTACTTTGCTTGCAATATCTGTTAAGAGAAAACTGATATACAATGAAAATTTAGAAAATGTTCAGGATTTAGATTTAAATTATTTAAATATCAATATTAGTTGAAAAATAAATTGTATTTATTATTAGGTTCCAAGAGAATACAATAAATATGCGTTATTATTATTTATTTTCTCTATTTTGAACTGAAATTTCATCATTAAATCTTGTAATATAGTTTAGTTCTTCATAGTTTTATTTTTCTCTCATTGTAAATTGAACTATTCTGTAAATTGAACTCATTCTGTAAATTGAACTATTATTTAAAATTTAAAAAAAAAGTAATTATTTTCCATGGCTGAGGTAATGCTTATTCTCTCATAATAAGTACTTCATTTCTCGTATTTTAAATTAAAAGTCTAATTTTTAAGGTTATGCAGTTGTGTATGATATAATTAGACAGGTGCTTAGTTTTTTTCTTAAAATGTGCTTGAAAAGTGCTTATAGGTGCTTATTTTTTTAACTAAAATGTGGCTATGAACCCTGGGGGGTCTTGAAACCAAAGATATACAAGAAAACATTTTTGTGTTCCATATCCTCAAATGAATTCTATCGTTAGTAGAAAGAATAAATAAAAACTGCTTTTCCACTGTTAAAAGTTACTGCTTTTCGCACTGTTAAGACATCTTTCATAAGCATTCAGAACATTCCACAGTGATCATATGAGGAGGTACTGAAAAAGATGGAAAGTATGACATTTTAAGTCCTCACGACATCCGTCTGTGTACAGTAACTGGAGCAATCGAAGAATGTATCCACTTTTGTAGACTTAATTAATTTTGATATTTAAATCAAATGACCTGCAGATTCAATATAAATTACGAGTTGCGACTTTATTAATACATAAGAGAGTAATATAGTCTTTGTGTGAAGACTACAATGAACTTGGTTTCACAAAGTGTATCCGCTGGGAAAGATATAAAATAGCTATTTAAAAGCTTGATGTCTTCACAGTTGATTAAACAGTGGCATACGTTGTGATGGGTATCTTCTAATAGGCATGTTAGTTATATTTCCACCTAGTCGGTTTCTAGTGGAGTTTTGAATAACTACCCTAGCAACGAATTTGTTAAATCCTCTTTTCCCCTAAAGTTGTGACTTTAATGATGATCAAAAAGCATTTACTGACAATCTGAGGAATAGTTCAAAATAAACACTAAATTAATTCTAAATTTTGGGTAAATATGAACTACGACTTACTGACATAGTTCTTTGTATAATGGAGGAACAGTTGTAATAAGCATTTAGTATGTTATTTCCAAATAGGCAGTTTGTGGGTGAGGGCAATGAATGGTTAATAAAGATATTGTTAATTTCGGCCGACTATTTACAAAATCATTCAACGATTGTCATTAAGAACAAAGAAAAATGTGTTTGTATAGAAAGTTTTTCCGCAAAGAAAAGCATGTTTTAGGGAGCATTAATGATGGAAACAAAGGGCGAAACGTTGAAACATTCTACAAAAATCTAACACTTCTAATACCAGAAGCTTATCATCACTATACCGATTAGCTATATATCTCCGTATGTATGAGGCCCACCAGCGGCCGAGCACGTCGCTGAACACTGGTAGTTCGGTTCAAGGTTCGAATCCCGCGAACGGGCTGGCTGTGCATGGGTGTTTTCGTGGTTTTCCCCATGTGTAACGTGTATACGAACCAGTTTCCCTTAAAAAGACCTCCACGAAGGCATCCCTCCCTTAAGGCAGATAGCCCTTGAGTGCTTTGCCGTAATCTAATAAACCAAACTAAACCAAACCGCATGTATGAAAGAATTTTGAAATACGTCCTTTCAAAGATATCTTTCATGGCTGGCTAAATGTAGGCCCTTCATACTTAGATTAGTGTATTTTAAAGTAAATTTCTCATGGCTCCTTCATGCAACAGAGCATTCAATATGAACATAAAAACGTGAATATTAATGCGTTTGCTATCTGAATCTTCAATTTATTTGTCCTTAAAATTTTCGTTTAATTCCAGGACTCCCTGGGAGGCAGTGTACGCCTTCCGCCAGGGCCGAAAGCTTGTAAAGCCAACATTCCAAGGTAGAGTATACAATTTCTTGGAAAGACCCAAAGAATGGAATTCCATCATCTATCACAGCTTAATGTAAGTTGGAGGAATTTAACATCTTTCGGAAAACTGTTTTATTAGTTTCTGTGTTTTAATAGTTTTCTGAAAAAGATTGGTAAGAATTGATTTTTCTGTTCAAGGTATGCGGCCATACTGGGATCTCTACTACTCAGTGTTCTATCCACAGTAGCCGAAGATAACATAACTTATTCCAGAGCTGTTTATTTAGTGGTAAGTCCACGCAACTTTCAAGATAGTTAATACCGTGATAATGCAAAGTACGCGATGTGACAACAGGACAGGTGTAAAGCCGGTGCAACTTGTTAGGCTGCACCTGGCAGCACCTTTTTTTTTTTTAAATTTAGAGAGACATTGGGCGACAAAATAAAGGAGTTGTAGAGATTGTATCGGGCGGCGATAAATGCGTCTGCTCTATAATTTCTTGACATGAACATGATTTTTCTTTATTATGCTGCTAATTTTCAAGTCTTTTTGTGCTCTTGCAGGTAGGGAAGGTTGTATAAGAGTTAAGAACAAAGGATTTTGGTTTTTCATTCTTGAGCTAGGACGTTTAGACGTCGAGATAAAATTTAGGTAGTAATCAAAGCAGATGTTTCCATTTACAGTAGTAAAAAGGCTGCATGGACTTTCTAAAGGGACAAACACGTAACACCCGGCATGAGTAAAAAGTAATTTTTTTTAATATATGTATATTATATTTATAGTATATTTTATTCTGTCGTGATTCTAGTTAAAAACCTAACAAAACGCCTTACTGTGTTTGAGGTCACAGTAAACTATCTTGAGTCCGTTTGATCGACGCTCTCACCTGGAATATTCACATCACCAACTCTGTCGGCAAAGCCACTGAGATGGCTTCCAACATCAAGCCCCTCCCTGATAGCACCTCTATGGACCTCGCATGTTAAAAGCGTATAAACACCACAATCATGCGACCCATTCTCATTTTTGTCTCCCCTGCCTAGAATGACGCCATAAAAACATATTTCAATAAGTTACTTAGAGTTGATTTTTCAAAGCTGTTTTCTCAGAAAAATCGCTGGGGCTCCTTTAGTTCATTATGAAAGAAATTAATCATAAGCCCCGTTCACATTCAACGCTCTTTCGCACAGCTGCCATCAGCAAGAGAAGAAAAAAGAGATGACTGATGATTAACTGACTGATTTCGTGCGTTCCAGAATATTTCAAAAGTGCAGCGTCTCTGGATCAATAAAGCTAATCCATATAGCGCATCAGATAAATCTGTTTTAGAGACCTAGTGGTAATGAGAAGATAGGCAAGGGGAACCGAGCTTCACATGGTCAGGAAGCAGCGATCATGTACAAGAGTTGGTGAAGTGTTTCTGTTGTCATCAGCAAGGACATAAAGGAAATACAAATACAATAGATTTGATTACAATACAAATCATCATAATACAACATATATATGCAACGATATTTACAATATATACAACAAAGCAGAATATATACAACGATATTTACAATATGTACAACAAAGCAGTGAGTGTGGACATGGATACTGTGTGAGGATGTTGGAGTCACATGCGAGGTGAGCCGCGAATGGTCTAATAGTACTGTCTTCCTCTAGAACAACGTAGTTAAGCGTATTCAAGCTGTTTAAATGGTGACAGTTGAAAGCCTTAACAAAGAAGTTTCTATGGGCGTTAGTGACAGTGCGCAAAACAGAATTTTGAAAGAGTTGCAGTCTGTGAATGTCCTCTTTTGTAGCGGCGGACCAGCCTGGTGAGGAATAAGTGATAACAGTCCAGGGGCGTAGCTAGAGAGGGCAAGGAGGAGCATCTGTCCCCGGGCGCAGAATCCAAGGGGCGCCAAACTGATGTTACTACATTTTAGAATTAAATATTTTCCATCCTTGGCCAAGCAGTAGGGGGCGCAAAATCTTCAGTTGTCCCTGGGCGCTGAAAATCCTAGCTACGACTCTGTTACAGTCCTAATATTCATAATGTACATGAGCCGCTTTTTTTTAAGGTCCAGGCTCAAATATTTATTGATGAGCGGCCTAAGACTATTAATGACACCAAGTGCCTAGCCTATCAATTTAGGATGACCCCTAAGTATTTTGCATGCTTATCTTGCGGCACTTCTCCAAATAAAAGTTTACTTTAACAGTCTGTTGCGTATGCTTTCTCCTTATTATTAACAGCAAAAATTTAGTGGCGTTTATAGAGATCCGCCACAACTTGCCCCAGTTTTCGATGCTTGGCATAATACTACTTTGTAGTTTTTAATGAGATACATTCATGACCTTATAAGAGATAGACTAACCCAGTGGGCGAGGCGCGCGTCACCGACATGTCGGCAAGAAAGAGTAGGGACGATCTGGTTTACTTTAACACTGAAACCTATGGCGTTTGTATCACATAACTCTTTTAAATTATAAATGTGATACGTTGTATAGTTATGAGATATGAAAGCCACAGTTTTTTCCAAATAGGATTTAATATATCTCATTATTTAAAGCACTTTTTACTGCATTCGCGCAATTTTCACGCGTAATTCTTGTACAAAACATCTTTACTTGGTAAAATGGTTAAAAACTCTTAAGCACAAAAATTATGAACTTAATTTTGCGTAAAAATATAAAGTAAAATTAAATAAGATTGATAGCACGCGATGCTTTGAAATAAATAAGGTAAAAATTAAACAAGATCTCATAATTTTTTTAAAGTTAATGAACATTTTCAGGCAGTGATTTTCCAAACTATAATAAATTACAAAACGATCATATTTATTTGATTATATGATCATTAAATATTAACGTCAAAGTGGATTAGTTATTTAATAAGTCATAAAATTTGGAGCATAAATTTTCTGAGCGTAATGAAGGGGAAAAAAAAAGATAAAATAAATCTAGACTCTTCTTTAAAGTTTGTGTGTACCTATATTTATTGAAATCATGTTCTTCGCCCGTAAACCACATAATTTGAAAACAGCATATCTTTAGAATTTCCGCACTGGAGATAAAACTGTTATTTTCCGTACAGTGCTCGCTCTGAACTCGTTGAGTTTGTTAATCAAAAATTCATTAAAGTTTTAGAAAATATGAAATAGATTAAAACAAATTCGAAATTCGGCCGTCCAGATGCCTATGTTCGGGTGGAGGATTACATTATTCAAAATTTGATGGCTCTTAATACTGTCGTTTTTGCACAGTGCGAGAAACATACATGTATTAATGCTGATTCTTATGTGTATTTCTTATAAGACCCATGGATACATTCATGGACCTTATAAGAAATAGACTAACCCAAACGGGTTTTCTCCCCCGTCTGAGGCGTTGCCGGCTGTCACCTTGATCACATCCGGAGGAGTGGGACGACTTGCAGAAAATTTAACATTGGTTGCTATTGCAGCGTATAATTGTAAGAAAAAGCTGGTTGTAGTGCCTCATTTCACAAAAATTAGAATTTCTACATATTTTTATTTTTGAAATTGAGATTGATTTTTAAAAACTTAGCATATTTATCAAGCATAATTAACGTTCCAAATAATTATAAAGCTATTGCATATTGTTTCTTTCAGGACTGGATATTTTATTAGCTTTTCCTATGCTGTAAGGAAATTTGTAATTACTTCTTTTAAAAAATATTTTAGATCTGAAGTAAAAGAAAATTTCAAACAAGCAATTTTCTCTTGCAATGTTTATGCTTTTTATTGGTGTAAATAAGTAAAAAATACTAAAATATTTAAAAACGAATTTTTGAAAGTTTTTTTTAAAATTATAAATTGTGCTACTTTTTTAAAATTATAGATGAGTATTATAGCACAATTTCTATAAAGGAATTGTATTTTATAATACATCATAGTGATAAACACTTTTGCCTCCTTAAAAATGTTTATACATTTAATTCTAATATTAAAATTGTATTTAACCGTAATAATTAATTTTGCTTGTATTTTACAGTGATTATTTGTTAAAATTTATTTTTAGTTCTGCATAAGGTTTTTTTTATTTACTGTTAATTTAATTTATTAGCCCAAAGGGGCGGTAACCTAGAAAGGCTGTTAATTTCGAAGCGGCATTTTGCGCTGTTTGACTATAAATGTCTGTGTCTTGCGAATTGTTGTTACCAAATATTATTGCCCTGTATTATATGCAAGGAAATTAACATGTGAAACAACATGTATGTTTCTCTGTGACAAAAACGACAGTATCTAGAGCCATCAAATTTTGAATAATGTAATCCTCCACCCAAACATAGGCATCTGGATGGCCGAATTTCAAATTTGTTTTAATCTATTTCATATTTTGTAAATCTTTAACGAATTTTTGATTAACAAACTCAAGGAGTTCAGAGCGAGCACTGTACGGAAAATAATAGTTTTATCTCCAGTGCAGAAATGCTAAAGATATGCTGTTTTCAAATGTATGTGGTTTACGGGCGAAGAACATGATATTCAATAATATAGGTAACACACAAAACTTTAAAAAAAAAAGAGTGCTTCTAGATTTTATCTTTTTTTTTTTTTTCCTTCATTACGCTCAGAAAATTTTATGAATTATTAAAATAACTAATCCACTTTAATGTTAATAATTTAATGATCATATAATCAAATAAATATGATCGTTTCGTAATGTTATTATAGTTTGGAAAATTACTGCCTGAAAATGTTCATTAAATTTTTTTAAAAAATTATCAGATCTTGTTTAATTTTACCTTATTTATTTTAAAGCATTGCATACTATTAGTCTTATTTAATTTTACTTTATTTTTATGCAAAATTAAGTTAATAAATTTTGTGCTTAGAGTTTTTACCGTTTTACCAAAGTAAAGATGTTTGTACTAGAATTACGCGTGAAAAAAATGCGCCAAATGCAGTAAAAAGTGCTTTAATGAGATATATTAAATCCTATTTGGAAAAAACTGTGGCTTTCATAATCTCATCACTATACAACGGATCACATTTAATAATTAAAAAGAGTTATGTGATACAAACGCCATAGGTTTCAGTGTTAACCAGATCGTCCCTACTCTTTCTTGCCGACATGTCTGTGACGCGGGCCCCGCCCACTGGGTTGGTCTACCCATGGCAAAGAATCTATAGTGTTTCCCCTAGAGTTTCTTTGACCCATGGATACATTCCGGTGACGTCGGAGGTCACGTGATGTAAGAACTGGTAAGAACTGCAAATGTAAACAAACAGACTTGTGCTGTGGTAGATGTGTTGAAAATTCGGAAGCTTTGTTTATTTAGTCATGAAATTTGCAATTCATCTTTAATTATTATTTCATCCATTAATTAACTGTTCATTCATTTAGTTAGTATAATTTTGGTAACTCATATGTTATTGTTATCTTCATGATACTCTTTTGCTGGCTGCTTTACCATGTTTTCATTGTTAATATTTATTTATGAGTTCTTTCCTTGATCTGATAATTAATTCATTTATAAAAAATGTAAAAATGAATACATAAAATCATGTAAAAATGAATACATAAAATCATGTTTACACAGATTGCTCTTCTACACTGCACTGAAAGAAAGTTACTATAAATATTTTTAAGTCATAATTTTATTAGCTTAAAAAGCACAACAGTAAATATAAATAGTTGGTTTCTGAAAATCGTAATAGTCAGAATATTCAGGAGCACTGTAAATGCAGTTGGCACCTTAAATCATGTAAGAATAATGATTCCAATGTTTTGTGCAGTTCAAAATATATAATTTTATGCAACTTAAAATTTAATTTTTAGCAACTGACTATTATCCTATTGATAGTATAAACTGCAAATTAACACATTTTGTATACTATAATATAAATGCTACAAAGAAAAATATATAGATTTGTGCAACTGATTCAATGCAGTACTAGCTGTGAAACTAATAATTTTTCATAATACATTTTTCTTCATTTTATAATAACTAATAAAAAAGTACTATCTGTATACATTTTAAGTATTCAAAAAAAATTTTGAAATTATTTTTAATCTTGTACATTACATAATTTATGTGCAGAATTTTTTATTTTAAAATCATACAGCTCAAAAAGATTTTTAAGTGTATTTATTGAAAAGATCTACCATAACGCACATGTTAGCTCAAACTATGGACTGACACAACGACTGTTTTTCAAGGACTAACCATCATAAACCTTCATAGGTACATTGTGGACAGGTTAGGAGATAAAACACGCAGAAATTAGTGAGAACATTCTTTTGTGTATTGAGACAAATTCCTAATTGTTAAAAAAGGTGCTTAAAGAGAAGGAAATCGATATATATTAGCCAAAATGTCTGGAAAGGCTTCAAATAAAAAAGATGCATAAATATTTTGTTGAGTATTGTTACTACAAAACATAAATGTTTTATGTGTTATTATCCGAATATCGTTTTAAGAATCAATGTCATAAATTATATGTATTTTAAACTGTGAAATTTTATTAGGTTGGGATTTTAATAGGGCTAAAAAAAAAGAAAATTTAATAGTTATCTTATACCTTATTTAATTATTTATAACTGCTTGCCCTTAAAAATTATCTCTGCATATTAAAGCGAGTTATTACCTTTCATTAACCCTTACCGTAGTCATAAGATAAAACACAAAAATGTAAAAATTCATGTAAAACTTTCTTCGCATCTAGTGAGATTTAAAACAGTGCAAAACAACTTGTCACCTCTGCTGCTTTAGTGGCTTATTAGAACCTTTATTATTAGAAGTATATTAACTGAGACACAACCCCTGCAGGTAAGCAGCAGCAGGGACAACAGCCAGTCTTTTGTTGTTCCTCATGCTGATTATGATTTTACTTCTCATTTTAACCTATGCCGCTTGGCATAAAACCTGCTCACTATTTACTAAAGCTCTAGACTGAGCAAGTATGTGACAAAATGAGGTATAAAATAAAATCAACATAAAACTGTTAGTAAAACGTAAATAAAATGTCACTTATCTCCTTTCAAATATGTTTAGTTTTTATAAATGTAAAATGCTCCTTGATAAATTTCATATATTTTTATTCTCAGAATTAATAATTATGTTAATTAAGTCATGTTTAATAATAATGCATCCTACTTATGAATCTATTTTATTTTTAGGATGGTATTACAAAAGTGGAGTTCAGGCATAGATAATATTTTTAATTGAATTTGTTCAGTTCCCATTCACTCATAGGTCCTTAATTTTTTTCATTAATGGTCTTTAAAAGTCCTGAATTTCAGTGTGCAGAAATGTGTACAAACCCTGTTAAAAGTTTGGAAAACGTTTATTCAAGGTCTTGGAAATAGTTTTCAATTAACTGATATACACTTAATATTCGTAATAAAAACATTATTAATACTGGTAAGCATCGTGCATAAGAAACATTTTAATAAATCTTACCTCGTTTTCTGCAGAAATTTGCACAGATGTTTCATAATGAATTGATTTCTTCATTTTGACCTTAACATGGCTTTTATAGGTACTGTGATATCCGGCATTACTTTGAAACAAATATTATTCTTTATCTTTGTTAGTAATAGCTATCAAGTTGTCTGTGAAAATTGGTCTATTACTACTAGGCTTAAAAAAGAGATGTGAAGGAGTTTCATTTTAAAGCCCGTTCAGAAGACTGTCATCTTCTTGCCTTTATCCATAATCCACTGTGACCAGTGATATCATAAACATGAATCTAATTGGCTGATTTATAATACAGTCGGTATCGGAACTTTCACATTGGTTCCCGAAACAATGGAAGCGATTTCTGTATATATTTCTGATATTTGTTTTTCTGATTGATTCCTTTGTATTTCTGATATTTTGTATCTGATTCTTTGTATTCAATTTTCTAATAGTGTACCTGATAAATGTTTGATTGGTGTTCCAGTTTTTCTGGCACTTTGGAATATTTTAGTATACATTTTGTTAACATTATTTGTCTTCATATAAAACAAGAGAACAAATATAGTTTTAAGGGGTGGTGCAGATGTCTTTTATTTTAGAAGCAAAAACATGAAACTAAAATTGGTTCACATAACTGCTCTTGTTATTAAATAATCTGATTTCAAAACTCTGCATAATTTGCCTAATATATCTCAATTCTCTTTCCCTTTTTTTTTTTTTTTTTACCTTACATTAAGAAGTTGCTAGACGTTAAGTAGAAACTAAAATTCTTCTCATAGTTTTTCTGAAAAATGGTTAATGCAAATAATGTGAATGCTTTATAAAACTCCTCATTTTGAAATGTACTTTTAGGAAGTTGTGTTAGCTGTTATTTTTACCACAGAATATGTTGCTCGAGTGTGGTCAGCTGGTTGTAGGAGCAAGTACTTAGGCTTATGGGGTCGTCTTAGATTTGTCACCAAACCCATTTGTATTATTGGTAATTATTTTTAATTTATTTGAATGAATTTTATTTTCACAATTATTTTTTGGTCTGTATGTTATTTCTTGTATGTTTCAAATAAAAATTATTCAATTTTTTCCCTCAAAAGATTTCATTATCATCATGTCAAGCATATTTGTGATAATTCTTGGTTCTGATGGCTACTCGTTTGGTGCTAAAGCAATAAGGTATTTATGCAAGTCTGATTTATTTCAGAATCATTAGAGATATGAAGAATTATCAAAAAGTAACTTTAGTATTTCTTTAAATATAGAATGCACAAAATAAGATGGGAAATACCTTTTTTAATATCTCTAATTTTAGTGCAGGTAGATCAATCTGAATGACATATACCCACTTGATAAAGAACTCATTTTATTTCATGATCTGTATTGGATTTCTTTACACAGATTGCTTTCTTTGAAATGTCTACCCATAAACCTGCTGGTACAATGTACCAGTCATATTTCATACCAGTTCATCCAATATGAATGTCTTGTAAAATATTTCTACAACAAATTATCAAAGTAAGGAAAAGAACAATTTTTCTTTTCCTTACTTTGGTAATTTTTAAGAAAAGAACAAGGAAAAGAACAATTTTCCTTACCTTGTCTCCTGGATAGTGCCAAGCATCATCATAGTTTTCCAAAAAGATGTTGTACACAAAATTGCAAATGAAATGCATTTATTTAACATATTAATAGATGTTTATTGTAGAATAAGATTAGATATTTCCTAATATATATTAAGAGTGTTCAATAATTGAGTCGTTTTGAGGGAGTTTTATTACTGTCCTTATATCCATATGAAGGAGTGAGAAGAAGGAAAGAAAAAGCGAGTCACTCAGTTACTCTTCCATAGTACATTCAGATTAGATAGTCTGCCACCCCAATTGGTGGCTGTTCATCACTGCATATGAAAAGAATGTTCTAAATTCTCACATTCAGCACCCAAAAATATAATAACTGCAGGTTTTTCAAAGTAGTAGCCCTTGTACTCTATTGCATGCTTTTATTTCATCAAGCTTGAAAAGCCTAAACATTTCATTCTGAAAAACATAACATGAACATAAAACAATCATCTACTACATAATTTTGAATTTTTACTATCATATTAAAGTTACTTTTTAGTTCTTCATAAATAGTTTATTTCAAATGAAAATAATTTTGCTTCCAATAAATATAATTTACATTTGCACATATTTGTGTAATTTTCAGGGGTGTGAGGTTCCTGCAAATCCTCAGGATGTTGCATGTTGACAGAGAAGGTGGATGTTGGAGGCTTTTAGGTTCTGTGGTTATGGAACACCGACAGGTATGAAACATGCACAAATTGTTTTGCCAGCATATCACATCTTGTGAATAAGTATAACTGTGCATAAATATAATACAGAACAACCAAGCCACATAGCAAAGGAATGCCTTCAAAATAGTCTTGCCACAAAAGTGTTGATATTTTTATAAAACTGGTCAGTGTTAAAAAAATCTTTATAAAAGAAAAAGTAGTCTTTGTAAAGAAACAGGCACCTTTCTGTTGAGATAACACTGAGTAGAATCATTTTATTTGCTTTACTAATTAGAAAGCAAACTTAATCCCTAGTTGCATAGTGGTGGCTGAGCGCAAGTTGTCTGTACTCTTATTATGGCTGCTTTCTACAAGTTAGTAACAAATCTTGATAAATATATGGGCAGTTCTATATCCTTATGAAGATTTGTCGGTACTTTTCCGTTTTGCCGGCGCAAGCGATGAAGTCGCCAATAATGGTACAACCGATGCCAAACGGAATATTCTCGCTGGTAACCGTTTACGCCTCATTTTCAAAACAAGTCGCCGCTTTGTCTTATCAGATTGTTTCTTTCAATACTAGCATATAATTACATAGAATTTTTATCAGATACTAGTTTAGTTTTATGTCTAAGGCCATTTTCGGTAATTAAGTCAATCAGGATGCAATCACAGCGCTTACCCGAAGCCGAAAATATAGAAAAGGTAAAGTCAAGGGTTAACTTCATCAATTCTAATGAGAATGCATTAACGAAGTAAAGCACTGCAGTTTTACATAATTTCTGTGTAAGCTATTCGTACGAATTAAAATATTTCTTGCATTTAAATTTGTTTTCCAAATTAAGATTTAACTTGAAATTAATGTAGATAATTACTGAGAGCATTAGATTTTTGTAGAGTAGTTTACGTGAGATGAGATCGTTTGGGTTCACGTGATATGAACCGGCGAATCAGGATGTTGAACCATGAAAGCATAGTAAATTCTTAAATTAATGTCTTTTTACAAATTTATTGTCTTTATTTATTGGCTTTTTATAAAATTTTAAGCGATATTAAAATGTTTATGCCTTCAAAAAAAGAATTCTTAGAACTAACATTTTTTAAGTATTTTTTATTTGTATACCGTATGTTGTCGCCAATAAAGTCTGCTTGGCGAGATTTGCGCCGGCTAAACGGAAAAGTACCGATTTGTCTTTAAATAGTGACTGGTTTTTATATAAAGGTATTGGTATTTTATGGGGGTAGCATTATGAAGCTGCCCCTGGTAAAGCTGAAAGACTTCCAGTAAATCTCTAAATTGCCTGTATTTCAATTTGTTTATATTTTGATAATGTTAGAGTTAAGTATAGAGGAAATGAACACCAAATGCCAAAAGTAGAGAATATTGTAAAGAAAATTTTGATGCCAAAGTGGGGGAAAAAAGGAGCAAAAACCATAATACTGCTATTTTATAATGAAATTTAAACTATGCAGACTTCACTTTTTCTGTCATAATTTTCAGAATAATTTTCCTGATTTCAATTCAGTTTCAACTATTTTAATATATTATGAATTTTTAGAGCAATTGTTAATTTTAGGAATTTTTAGAGCAATTGTTAATTTATATTGTTAATTTTACTTTTGTAGTCTTTAAAAAGCATTTTGATAGATTTTTTTTAATCTACTCAGGTGTTCATGAGCATAAAATTTTCATGTATGATTTTGCAGTTACATGATTGCATTAATTTTAATATAATTCACTTTTCAAATGTAATTTTCAAGATATGTGTATGTTTGAATAAATTGTAATACTCCCTTCATAGTTGTGCTGGCATATAATTTTATATAACCATTGGTCAAGTAGTTAAAACTTCTGAACAATGATAGTTCAATCTGAGTTCAAACCTGGCAAATAAAGTTGGCTGAATGGTTGTTTTTGTGGTTTTTTTCATGTGTTATGTGAATAAGGCAGTTTCTTGAAATCTTCCACAAAAGCATCCTTCATCTTGGCCAGATAGCCCCCATATATTTTGACATAGTATTTAAATAATCTAATCTGAGCTGTGTTCTTTTCATTTCTTCAAAATATAACTAGGAAAACTGTCAGATCCTTATGCTTTCTCATATAATTTTGAGCTGAATGATGTTCGTAGACATACATAGTGTAAATTGATGCTAAAATGCTGTTATAAATTATCTTAGTATTTCATGTTTGAAAATTGCTATTAATGTAATAAAAAATTACATTTCAGGAAATGTTTACAGCATTATACATAGGCTTCTTAGGCTTGGTGTTCTCTTCCTATTTTATGTTCCTCATTGAAAAAGATGCCATTGTCAACAGTATGCCATCAACTGCATTTGCAACATACGCTGATGCTCTCTGGTGGGGTGTGGTAAGTTATATCTCATTCATTTCAGTATTGCATCATGTCATAAAATTATTAATATTTGTCTCTGTAACATATTGTTAAAATATATCATCTACAGCTTCTTTTTAAAGCCAAAGCTATTTACTTATTTTTATTCATAATGGAGCTTATTTGCTAAAATTAGAAGTGCTAAAGCTCTAAGAAATACTAGCAAGCCTCACACCTCAGGACCACCACATTGGATGATCTCAAATGTGACAAGAACACCTACCACATCACAGTGGACTGTGTAGCAAATCAAGTGGGCTAATCATATGCTCGCATCACAAAGCAGAACAAATTTCATAATTTATCAAACAGGCGACATAGTATTTGTGATAGTGACATAGTATTTGACTTCCAGCAGATTCACAATTGAATCCCAAGGTTGTTTAAACATAATCAAGAAAATCGGGAACTTATACAACATACTTCCCATGAATGCTTAGTGATAGTGACACAAGTAAGCAGCAATAGACCACGGAGTATAAGTGAACCTCATGCCTCAGAACCATCACAAATGTGTAAATTAGACTGAAATCTTCTTGAGGGTCTTCTGTGAGGAAAAGGGAATATGAGACGTTTGGATTCAGTTCGTTGGTGGATGAAACTATTTACCAGCTGGGATAACAATTGAATTTTAACTACTCTATTCTGTTTTTGTTACAAAGTATTGATTTAAATTTTAAGTGCTGTCAACAGAATATGAAAGAAGTATGATTTAATTGTAAGTTTCTAAGCTATATTTCTTCTCCACTAATTGATGTCCAGTTTTTGAATCTGTATTATGTTAAAAATAATTAACTTCAAAATGTTGCTGAAAACTATTCAAACTTGTTCAACAATATGACACAAAATTAATTTATTAGGTAACTATGATGACTATAGGTTATGGTGATAAAGTACCTTTGACATGGTCAGGACGCCTGCTCGCATGTTTGTCTGCTATGTTCACTGTATCATTTTTTGCTCTTCCAGCCGTAAGTATAGTTATTCCATAAACTGTATCTTTATATATAAAATATGCGTATACGATATTTTTATAATTAACCCTCTGGCTGCTCATCCTGCGATTTCCACAGGCAACTCAAATGTAGCAAAAAACTGCTCATCAAGCGATTTCCGCTGGCATGTGTTTTTCTTTCTTTATTGAGGAGCGCATCCCGTTTAACCACTGAAATAAATTATATACAGTATTAGATGTTTAGTTTATGCTTTGGCCAACAGATGCCGTTAACTGTCCACTAAATTGTGGCATTTTTGAAAAGGCACGTGGTATTAGCGCTCAAACTCCACTTTTTGCCACTTTTTTCTTACAGAAATGGCTGCTAGGAAACATGCAAGAATTATCTTAATTATTTAATTAAATTATTGAATTATTAATTAGATTTAATAATTAGATTTATTGAATAATTAGATTTATTGAATCTGGTGCAAAGATTGTGAAGTTGGACTTTGCCTTGAACCCTATTTTATACTCTATCATACTAAACTGCATTTCTGAAATATTTTTCCTCAGTGCTTTATATATTCTTAAATTTTATATATTTTACTTTTTTATATTATGCAATAAATAGAAATTGTAATTCGACTAAAATTTATTTAAAAACAATTTTTTTTTTTTTTTTTTTTTTTTTGTGTGTGTGTGTGTGTGTGTGTGTGTGTGTGTGTGTGTGTGTGTGTGTACGTCTGAAATTGGTTTCCCTGGCAACTTAGTTTCTCATGATAAAAAGCTATATAAAAAAAATATTATCTAGAAAGGGAAATGCATTTTTCAATTCTCCAGTATATATAGATTTTAAAATATGCAAAAAAATAAATTACACAATTTTTGAAGTGATTTCGGTCCACAAATTGAGCAGTCAGAGGGTTAAATGTCTTTAACCTTAATTTCTAACATCACTATTAACTATGTTTTTCAACAGGGTATTCTGGGCTCTGGTTTTGCTCTGAAAGTTCAGCAACAGCAAAGACAAAAACATTTCAGTCGTCAGATTCCAGCAGCTGCTACTCTTATACAAGTAATCCATAAATTTTTATTATATGGACAAAGAATCAAAATTAAATTTTCAAATTATTTTATGTGTAGATCTCTCTAGAAATTTTTTCTCAGTCTAGAAATCTAATTTAGACAGATCATTAAATTCCCTTCTGAAACTGGGTTCATTATCATAATAAACTGTTCCTAGCAATAAACCATCCAAGTGTGAACACAAAAAGCATCAGAAGATAAAGAATTTACCAGTTCCAGATAAATGGCTTGAAGCACAGGACAAGTAAACGATACTACCCACACATTTTCTTCAGTTTTCAAAAACAAATGCGTAGCCAAACCAGTTCCAACTTCAAAAGCTTTCTTTGTCTGTTACATGGTCTAGTGGTAAAGGTGTAGGTTCACTTGACGTAGATTTAACTTTCAAACATTTACATATCATGCAGTTATATAAAACATGTTTATTTTCCTAGTTTTAATTATCTAAAATCATTCTCTTAATAAAATTTGCATTATTTAAATTCCAGCGCGAGATTTTTTCATCAATATAAATTTAATCCTAGTAAATTCATGTATGTCTGGTAATGTTAGATGCTGGAAGGATTTTTCATCATCTCAATTAATTACCTTAGTTCTTATTCTTAAAATAATTATCCTTATTTATAACATAACAAAATTTAAAAATTTTATATCAGATAAACAGTAGCTTTGAACTGAATGAATCAAATGCTTCTCAGAATTTTCAATTTCAGTAAACCAAAGTTCTGGGTTTTTACACTTAATACGAGTTTGCCGACAGCTATTTACAAATCTTGAATCCAAGCAAACTCTCTAATTTATCTTGATTTGATATGCTTAGATGCCCGAGCCCTTTTGCCAAATCAGTGGTTACCATTTTAATCTTTTTTCTTTCTGCATCTATTTCTTTAGGCTAACTATCAGTTTTCCGACTGGCCAGTATTCAGAATTTTTCCTTAGCTATGAAGGCCCCTTCCACCACCAGTAAGCAATCATGCCCTAAGCAGAACAGCCGCATGACAGCAAATCAGCAATATTCATACTCCTCGGAACATGCTTCCATGCCTGAGTGTTTTTCAATTGACGAATTGCTTGAACCCGGTTGGTCATGAAAATTGATCTGTTCTCAGCTATTTTATCCACCAAATGAGTATGAGTAGAATCGAACAAGTGTTATTTTATCTGGTAGACCAAGCTAGAATTCACAAGTCTAACACTTTCACGTCAGAATTAACTGCAAAGATACATGCAGCGTACACACCTTTGCTAGTATCAATAATAACATGCAATTCAAAAAATGAATTAATTACCATAAAAAAAAGTCTGAAAGGTTTCACATTTCAAATTACGTCCAAAGGGGCATTTTTTTAACATTTTGTGTGTTACCTTTATTTATTAAATATCATGTTCTTTGCACTTAACCATAAAATTCAGTCAAAATTCATTCAACAGCAATGTCGTAAAATAATTTTAAAATGAGCATATCTTTAGAATTTGATACACAGTTCCACGCACGCTGGAAATAAAAAGGTTGCCCCCCCCCCATAGAGTGTTGTCATTGCTCGCTTTTAAATTATTGAGTTTGTTAATCAAAAATTCATTTTACAGAATATGAAATCGATAATAAAACAAATTTCAAATTTGGGCTTTCAGATGCCCATATTCACAGTAGGATTACATCATTCAAAATTGGATGACTCTGGGTACCATTGTTTTATGAGAATGCGAGAAACATACACGCATTTATGCAGATTCTTCGTTGTTTAATTTCTTTAAATATAATACAAGTGTGATAGTATTTAGTAGTAATGATTTAAAAAGTGATACACTGTTTATAGGGTTCTGACACAAAATGGCAAAATGAAGACAATACTCCTTTAGGGACAAAGCCCCTATGGAATAAATGAAGCAAAGTCACATTTTTCATTTTATATGCATTTTTATATCGTTTTGAGAATTTATTCACAATATCTGGTGGTAACGCACAATACAAAGTTATTTTTGACTTTCATAAATCTTGTAACAATAGCCTTGGAAGTAATGTTGTTGGAGTTTACAAGCTAGGAATATCATGACTAACTATAGAACCTGCAAGTGGGTATCCTTTAGGCATGACTTAGATATTTACATTCAGATACAAGCAGTCTGATACACAGAATTTCAACATTCTACAGCTAAATGTTTTTGAGTTATGCGAGATACATACATGCATATGTCCTGACAAAAATCCCTTTTGAAACAATAAATCCATTTTGCAATCCGTTTGGGAAAAAACATTCCAGTATTCTCTCCGTCCTGGCAGACATCACACAAAATCACCCAAATAGATTTGGGAAGAGTCAAAATGGATATTTCTATTGAAAAATGATATCTAAATTTTTTCATGATTACAATACGTTTTTACATCGTGCAAATAAGTAATATTTAGATTTCTTCAAAATATTATACTACTAAAAATTTGAATTTTTTCTTAAATTTCAGGCAGGTAGCCTTGTATTTTCACCCATGCATTGTAAATTTTTAGTTTGAATTTTCTCATGGTTTTTATGTTTAAACAATTTTGAAATATAAACAGAAAAAGTATTGAGTATCTTTGAAATGCATAATTTGTTTAGGTGCAAAGTTCGCCAGAAGATGTTTTAAAAGTAATGCTATGAAAACATTTGTATGCTTAATTTGTATGCAAATGTATTGTTTACATGTTGCTTATTTGTATGCTGTAAACGTATTGTTTGTAAAATGCTTAATATATGTATTTAAACTGTTGTCTTTCAGACATTATGGCGATGTTATGCTGCTGATAAACATTTCAATTCTGTAGCAACATGGAAAATTCATTTGAAGAGCCCATCTACTAATACAACTAAGGTAAATAAAATCTAATATGAATTGATGTATCAAATATGAATATGAATCTAATATGAACACTTTGATTTTTCTTGTTCAACGAATTTCTTCTTTGCATGTTTAAATGCTTATTAGAAAATTGTACACATGAATTTATTTATGCTATGTGAAAATAATAAATTTAAAGTGTAATTATTTTTACATTGAAATATATGACATAAACTGTGAAAAATCAATTATAAACAAAAATAAAATTACAGTTTACATCCTCATTGAGATGGTCTTCCTTCTTAGAAACTGGATTTAATTCTTAATGAATAAGATGTTCATTCATTTTGTGTTGAAGAAAAACTCAGTTTCTTTAACCCTTAATGAATGAACATCATATTGTAGAAACGTACTCTTAAGGGAACAGATGTGCAGAGATGCATCAAAGCAAACTTTTTCCTGAAAGGTGGCAGATGTACATCAAAGTCAGATGTAAGATCTTCAGACATTCTTCTTGTGGAGAGCCATGAACATCTTTCCAAAATATACATAACTGCTTGCCTTTGAAATGCTGTGTTAGAGTAAAAGCAGGAAGTAGAACTTTCTTTATTCCTGATTTTCACTTTTTCATATATTTTTAGGAATACATTTTGAATAAAAGCTTCAATTTCAAAGCCTTTCAAGCATTTCTTCTCCTTCAAAAGACAAAAAATGTTTCCTTTTTAGCCTATAGAGACATTATGTTATTTTTGTAGCAGGAGAGATGAAAAATGTGCAAATCCATCACCGGGACTCGAACCACAGACCTCTCAGACATGCACCGAGTGTGCTAACCATTACACCACAGACATGCTGGAAGGAGGGAGAAAATACTTTGTTTACTTTCCTTTTTAAAGGATGACTGGGGATTACTGGACCTAGTCGTCAAATCCTAGTGGTGAAGAATCATCATCCACCACCTTACTAGCTCGGGCACCACTATAGAATCATTCGGTTGTATTGAAGCAGAAGACATGAAAAATGAGCAATGCCCTCACTGGGAATCGAACCTGGACCTCTCGAATACGCGCCGAGTGTGCTACTGTTGCGCCACAAACATATGCAGAAGGAAGGGAGAAAATGCCTTATAAGCCTAATTTCGTACTTTACATTTCTCTTCTGTATGATCTTGAATATTGTTGTAGCAATCATCATATAATGATCGCGAAATGTATGCTATTGCATCTTTCAGACTAGATACAAGGTTGCCAGCTGATGCTATTTCTATCTCTTAATTCTACTGTCCAGTGCCTTTTAAATTCTAAAAATTTTATTGCCCGTAAGTCCTGTAGCATGGTTCTTATAATGGCTCTGGATATAGATGCACTGGTATTTAAAAAATAAAAAACTGCTCTGTATTTACATTTGAGTTTATACTTTTAACTACAGAATTTTTTTAATAAGAAGTAAATGATTTTGTTAGATGCAGTAGTAATATAGTAATATGTGTATGCAGTTTTTAGCATATTGAAATAATGAATCTATGCCTATGTTCCTTGCATTGTTTTAAAAGGACAGCCCCTAGAGCACTCAAATATTGAACACATGTAGTCTTCCACATGAACATGTGCATCTCCAAGCCAGAATTTTGTATATTGAATTTTTTGTTAGTTTTAAGAATTCATCTACTTAAAAACAATATGTTGCCACTCAAAAAATCATAAGGTATTTATATTTCATATTTAAACAGAAAATTCTGTAGTTTGAACAAAAATGTGTTGCCACTGGCAAGACCTAAGATATTTTTTTAATTCTTTTTATGTATTTATTTATTTTATTGACCTTTAACTTCATTTGTTCATTAATTAAAAGTAACTTTTGCATGTGACATTTTTGAGTTTCTTTCACAAAGGTTAACCATTGAGTACTTTTCTGAAATAAATTATCTTTTTTGTTAAATCATACTTTTAGTATTTATTATAAATTACTATTTTCTTTTCTTTAATTTTGTCTTCTGTTTCAGTACAATAAAACAATGGCAGCTCTAAGGCGAAGAAGGCTAATAAAGTACAAAGCTGAAAGTGAAAAAAATGACCAGAATGATAGGTCTTGTGGAGAAATTGCTGTAACTTTAGAAGAACCCAAATCAGGTTATTTAATATACTGATTTTTACTTTTCTTTGTTTGCATATTTGAAATAAAATGCAAATTCATGTTTGCCATAAATGATTCTCATATGTACCATGCTAGTGCAGTGCTAATTAATAGCACTATTCACATTTCTTCTGAAAGCACTACAAATTCATTTGTTAGGATTAATTCTGCTATACCATAAAATTAATGCTGCTTTTCCAAACTAGCTTTTAATTTCATGAATGGAATAAAATAGCAATAAACATAAATATAAAATGCATGTGCATTTTTGCATGATGACCATTAAAGATTTTACTTACATTTATATCATTTAGTTAGTCCCAGAGTGTTTCAAAACTAATAGAATTAAATGGAACCTTTTAAGTGGGTTTATCCTGAAACACTAAAGTTTCCTAGAGTAAGTGGTATTTTCTTGATTATAATTTTAAAATGACCCATATATGCTACCTTAATGTGGTTTGTTGGATTTCTTGATGTAACAAAGGGAAAGAAATATTTACTGCTCCTGATGATGCATATTTAAAGTATATATTTTTAGTTTGCAACATCAACTATATTCAATTAAACTTTTGGGCAATTTGCCTCTTTCTTTCTCTTTTTGTATTTTTTAGCTCAAGGTCTTTTTCGCACTTTTAAAGGTCATTTTTAGGTCTTTTTTTCACATGTCTTTAAATTTCTCACAAATGAAATTCATTTTTATTTACAATAGATTAATTTCGATTAAACTAAACTAATTTTCTAGAGTCCTGGTGTTGTCCTATGAGTAGCGATTTAGTTTCTGGATAGTAGTGATAGTTTGACCTCTTAGAGGATTAAGGAATGATAGAACACGTTGCATAGCTGCCAACTCTCCTAGTTTTCCCATGAGACTTCCGGTTTTTCATGTCAGTGCCCGATAGCATTTTGTTTTGCCATTATAGACACAGTTTCATCCTACAGAAATCTGTCAAACAAACCAGAATGGCTTATTTAATAACATGAGATGTATGGGTGAAGAAAAGTGCAAAAACTGGCTTCTTCTCAAGAATATCAAATCCATGTAAATGCTCAAGTTGAGGTGAAGGATCTTGCACCTATACGATATGAAATGAAAAGATGTTTTGATTTTTTTCATTTATTTTCATGTGCTATAGTGTTTTAAATTTGCAGTTAATACAGTCAAATACCAAAAATCCGTTAACTCCTAAAATCAGCGTTGCCTCTCAAGCGTTCCTCGCATTCAGTTTATAGGTTCCAGAAACTGCAAACGGAGTACAAAATATCGAAGGAAAAAATACTTAACGTATAATGACGTCATAGTTAGCGAATAATAATGAGTCATAATGGAAATACCAAATTATTGACATCATGAAAAAGTTTCCCCCCCCCTCCAATCTGCATCTAAGTAAAAAAGCAGACTATTCACTCTTCTTCCAAGTTCACGATTCACGTTTGTGTATTTTCTGAGCTTTGTTATTTCAAAAGATTGTTTAGTGCTGCCGTTTTTATATCCGGATATTTTGTGGATAAATTAAGAATATTTTAAATTTCAGCGCTTTTTAATACTATGGCAGATAAGAAATGTACTCATGATTTTACTGTTTGCAACGTTAAAAAACGTAAACACGTTGCATTGACGACTGACACATTGCAAAAAGTGGAAATTCTGCAGAAGATGGAGGCAGGTGCTACTCCTCGGTTTATAGCAGAATCATATGGAATTGTGACACGAACTTTGTATGATATATGGAAAAATAAAGAAACACTGTTGAAATTTTACAGCAAGTGATTCTAACTCTGTAATCCAAAACTGGAAATCTTTGCATGAGGCGAAATCAGCAAACCTCGATGCTGTCTTGTACATATAATACAATGAATAATATAATCAATTTATATATGTAATAATAACTTAATGCATATAATAAATTATTGTAATAATGTATATAATAATTTAATTAAATGTATCTAATAAGTAAATCGTATTTATTTTGCACTTTTAGTCCGAATATTACGATTTATCTTTTCTGTCTTGAAATCCGCAAAATCTTAAAATCCGCACTACTTCTGGTCCCAAGCTTTGCGGATTTCTGCACTTCTACTGTAATAAATTAATTCATTTTTATTGTTTGACATCAGTTATTAAATTTTCATTGTGTTTAAAAGAATTTTGATAAAATAAAAAGCTCTTCTGTACTCAGTGTTTTGTTAGTATAAAAGTTTCAGAAAATTACAAAATGAGATAAAATTTGGCAAAAAACATAAAACTTAGAATATTTATTTAAATAGCAACTTATTTTACATCAGAATCCCATTATAAATAGTTCTATAACTTGAATCATACATTATAAAGCAAATTTTGGTGTTTTCTTGAAATTGCTTAACTACACAGCATGGGAAACCTCCCAGTTTCTCCAATTTCAAGGGTTAGCAGCTGTAACATAGAACCAAACTCAGTTCATCATAGAATGCCTGGTTGCATGTTGAAAACTAATGTACCACGATGCTTCAGTTTCATCATGCATATCATTATTTGCAATGTAAAAGCATGATAATGCTATCTTCTTTCTCATTTGCGCAGTGATCCCTTCCAAGTTACTAAGGATGGCATATAAACTGTGAACGTGATGGTTTGATCTCTAATATTATGCAGAGTGTAACATGTGGCTGAATGAAAATAAAGTAGAAATTTTTTCTGAAGGTATGATTGGGAAGGAAGTAAAAAAGTGAGTTCATTATCTCTTAGTCATATGTTACTTGGATGGTTTGAGAAAACTCCAACGTTGCTGTGACTTATAAGGAACTAAATGTAAGCATCATCTATTAAAAAGTAACATGGAGTCATATATTAAAATGTATGTACAAAATTAAAATGAATACAGAAAGACGTTTTGTGAGGTACGAGAAAAACTGTTGCTTTTATATATGCATCTGAAAATATCAGTCTTTTGCACTGTGAGAGTCTGCATGTAGGGAGGGGGGAAGTGTCTTCTAGCACTTAACTCTTTAATAATATGAGCATAAATTTTTGAAAAAATTTTGGTTGCTCTATTCTTAAATTCTTT